TGGTCTTTGAAGGAAAGACATAGGCCAAAGAACTGTGTGGCTTGTTTTCAGTGTGCAAAAATATTGTTAAGTTGTTCTTGTGGTTTTAGGACATGTTTTTTGGAACAAAAAAATCTCGAGGTAGGTGTCATAGGGAGTGGCTCTGTAAGGATCGGTCTTGTGTCAGTGACCTCTGGGTTGTGGTTGTGCAGTCACACACCCTGCTGAACATTTTAGGCTGTGGAAATTTATCCCTCTGAAAGCAATGAGCCTGCTCCTATACAGGCATGTTTGCAAGATCATGACATACCTTAAAATCCCTCCAAAAGCTTCTCAGAACTGGTCATTGGGTGTCTATCATTTCCTCTTTCTTCCTCCTCTTCTTGCTTTTCTTTTTTCCCACCCCTCCTCTTGTTACAAAATTAGAAACAGATATGTTATTTTTTAAACTTTGGCCTCTAAAATAGTAAGGGCAGTGATAACAGCTTTTACTGAAGCCAAACACAGTAAAATATGCTTAGCTGCTCACTGTGGAGAGGGCTGGAGCAGTCCATTTGTGTGCTGTATGTTGTTGAATATACCACCCCCATACAGACTGGAGCAGCTTAACTTTCCCTGTCACATCACATCTTTGGCTTGAAGTTGGTGAAGCTGTTCCTTAAATATTCAGTATTGCCTTAAACCAGGCCTGTGTCACAACATGTGCATTACATAATTTTTTCAATCTTTAAATCAAATGTATGTGGTCCTTGCATTCAGAAGTGGTGATGAACTGACAGCAGCAGTGATGGGCAAGTCCTGCTTCAGTTGTGGAAGGGATGAAATGTTGACAGCTACAGCGGCAGCTCCCTGCACACGGCAGTGCAGTGATGGATTCATGGGTCTTTTGCTAGCCAGCACGCAAGGCATGGTGTTTCCTCCGGGCTGGCAAGATCTAGCCTGGAGTTTCAGTGCTGGAGCTCTTCCCTGTCCTGACCCAGGGCTGCAAGGCCTAGGGCTTGATGCTGCCTTTGCTGCTCTCTAGAAGCCTGCCCTCCAGTTCTGGTTTCCCAGCTTTGGCAACAAAAATATCCTCAAATATCCCCCCACCTTGCTGGGGTTTTATTTGGGGGGGTGGGGTGGTGGTTGTGTGTTTACCCTGCATAACATGATGTCTTTCTCTTCCTGGCTTTGCCAGCAGAGCAGTTTGTACATTGTCTGGCTTGGCTTACATTGCATAAACTGTGGAAGTGTTTATTTGGTTTAAATTAAAAACAAAATAAAATTGGCAGGGTCTTTTGTCAGGCAGATCGGCTCCCCGGTCTGTTCCTCAGATGGGTTGCAGGTGGTGGTACAGGGGTGAGAATGAACACAGGGGACGGTGAGGCAGGGATCCCCGCCGAGCCCTTGGGTTATGACGGCAAAGCCCTCAGGAGCCACATCCCTGGAGTTGCAAGATCAACTCAACTGCTGGGATTTTTATTTTTTATGTTTTTTTGGAAATGATGCACTTGGGAATTTATTGGCTTTCCAGATGCACTCAGTTGATATCTGAGACATATTTTCAGGGCCAGCAAAAGCTTCAGAAGAACCAGCAATGGTGTGAGCAGGTAACCTCCCCTTGCAGATCGGAATACGGCTCTGAAGAGCAGAGATGGCTTAACACAAAGTGATGAAGGGAGCTTCCCTCTCTGTGCTTGGCCACAAATTCAAGGTTGCCCTCAGTGTTCATATATACTGTGGCTTTTACATCTGGCAAGGGGAGCAAATATAGATTGGGTCTCCCAGATGAGACGAGTTGGCTGACTGCTGGAGATCTGACCAGTGAGTCCCACCATGGCTTTGTGGAGTGCCTTGGACAGAATCACAGAGAATTTCAAGTCTTGTTATATTTTTTGGAAGAAAACAGAGAAGCAAAAGTATATTTAGCAAGAGTGAATAGAAGTAACAAAGCATGGTAGAGATTGAAACAACACACGTGCATCTTGAACCAGATGTTATACTATGCTGCGTTTTACAGAGTATGCATACGTATGTACTGCCATATAGTGTGTGCGTGCGCCTGCCAGCTCCCTCATCTTGCCTTGGCACTGATCCTGGTGCACAGATATGCTAAGGCACAGTCTCTGCCCTGAAGAATTTGCACCATAACTGGATGTGGCTGGAGGAGGAAAAGGTCACCAGGGCATGAAGTGGCATGAAGTGGTTTGTCCGAGGTTACACTATGGAGTAAAATGGAGAGCAGCAGCTCCTGTCCTGCCTCCAGTGCTCTGCCTGTTGGGTACCAGGATCATAATGCAGCTTTTTATGTTTACTGTCTCCTGTGAAGCTCAATGCTTTATAGAGGTATTGATTATTTAAGCCTTGAGTTGTCTATGATAGAGGAATGTTAAAATAATTGTTAATATAAAAATTATTTGAATTTGAAATGTAACCAGAGATAATATAGCAAAGGCAAAAGCAAAATGTAAGTAAATCAGTTTTTGGTATAATGTAATTAAATGAGGGTTAAACATGAGAAACATTAATTCGGCTTTAATAGTATGAATTGGTTTGGGTTCCTTAAGAAGCATTTAAGGAAATGCAGAATGAAAGGGTGAACTCCTGGTCATATTGATGAAATGGGAACCCTGCCATTGATTTCAGTGAGGCTTGAGCTCCTCCAGCCTTGCATCAGCAGTGATGCTGAGCTGCCCGCCCTGCCGACGTCATTCCTGCTGCCACTGTCCCTCCTTACTCACCATGCAGCTTCCTCCAGCGCTGGATGTGTCATCGAAGTCGCATTGCCCCAGTGCTCAGGGAGGAACGGGGATAAAGTAATGCTGCTGCCTGAATCTGGGCCTAAATTGCATCCTGATTTTTATTTGTTGTTTGGTACAGAAGTCAGAGGAGTTCTCTGGTGCCTGCTGTCTCAATTCACTGAAATAAGACTAGTCATGTGCTTAACTCTTACCACATGCTTTAGTGCCGTAGTGGCTTGGGTCTGAAAAGGCTGAATTTAGTGCAACTCCTTTTTCTCTTCTTTTACTATTATTGTTAAACCTGAATGTTGCAGCTAGCACTTCTTCACAGTTTTTTTGCCTTTTGAAGGAAGAAAGCGGAGATTATTTTTGCCACAAGCAGTGCTACTGCCAGTTAAATGGGCCTGTGCAAGGCTTGGCAGTGCATGTTTACTGTGCCAGAGTGGGCTGGGGGAAGGGGGTCCCAAACTTTCCTGCTGGTGCAGTTGCCTGCAGATAATTTTCTGCAGGGCAGGAATCATCTCAGAGGCACATGTGTTTCTGCTGCAGACCTGATCCTTCAGGCTTTCCTCATGCACAGCTTCTCTTGGAAATTATGAGCATGCAAGGCTGCAAGATTGGTCCTGTCATGACAATTTCCTGGCAGAAAGAAAAGACAGAAACTATTTTTAAATGAAAGCTTTGAATCAGAGGAATATTGCAGAGTGCAGCAAAAAATTGTGTCAAAACCCTGAAATCATAGACTCGGCAGTTTTCTCATGCCAGTGGTTTTCTTCTCCTCATGGTTTTAAGGCTGTGTTTTCGGAGGACTGGGCTGAGCATTTTTCAGCAGGATGTTTCTATTCTCCCTGGTACACGTTATCACAGCAGCAGTATCATTTTCTGTGCGAGTCAGGCTGGAGAGAGGTGATATGTTCACAGGGGTGGGACTTTGCAAAAAAACTTGTAGCTGTACATTGCACTCAGTCAAAATGGTTTTCCTTTAAGTTTGCCTAAAAGTTCATTATTCAGCCTTCATCCCCACCCCCTCCCCAGATTTGGTTTTATGTTCCTACCTCGGTGTACTTTTTCAACTTTTCCTTCCAAGTTTCAGTGCTCAGTGGAGGCTTGGGAAAAGCAAATAACGGAAAGCGTGTGACTACTTCTTAACGCTGGAAAATAATGTCCTCTTTTCCCCATCACTTGCTTTTGTATAGCTTAAGAATGACCCAAAGGGCTCTTGCTCAGATTTTAATTTAAAACAAACCATCTGATTTGATCCGAGATCATTATTTCCCCCCAAAGCACTCTCAGAGTGATTTGAACATGTGAAAACAGGCAGTTTATAAACACAGTTGTTTCCCTGCCTTTGATAGGGTGGTCACTAGTCAACAAATGTAAAATACACTGCCTCGCAGGGAGATACTTTAGTTAATTAGTTACAATCAGTACAGTGCTCAGAGACTCGGTGCTGCTTGCCCTGTATATTTGCCTGTTAATCTTGCTTGCTGGCTTTGCTGATTATGGTCCATATATTGTGGCTGGTTTCTCGTGTGCCCTGTGAGAAAGCGCCCAGAACCATGTTGGCGCAGGAAAGGTGATGAGCATCTTCCTCTTGGGCCATTTTCTGTGCTCTGGAAATCTGAGGTGCTGGGTGAGCCTGCTTTGCAGGTTTTGCTCTTCTGCTGGCATGAAGTTTTCCAGGCCCAGCCTGTTCTTACAAATCGTAATTTCAGTTGCACATTTCCGATACTGTCTTTTAGCAATTTTTTCTCCTTTTGTCTGTATTCATGTGTCCCTTCACATGCTCCTGCAGTGCTCTCTGCATTTTCTGACTGCCTCCTTCCTTGTTGCAAGGGGATGTGTTTCCCCATCACTCTCTTTCTACCCAGGAGCACACGGCTTTTGATGCCACTCTGCATCATCCCCAGTGGTCATTTTTGGGACTGTGGGTTTTTAACAGCCTCCAAGGACTGCCTTGTTAGGTAGCTATGATCCTGGCCGTGGCGTACTGGCTCTTCTGGTGATGCTGAGATGGGCCAGCCTGATGCTGCTGACACACTGTATCTGCAGAAACCCATCTCCCCTAGGCCTTCAGGGGCTTGTCGGCAGCCCAGGTGTGTCACATCACGCTGTGTAAACCCCCAGGTGAAGTCTGACCTGGTGATGAGCAGTGCACAAGATCCTGTTCTATCCTTAACTGTTTGCATATATGAGGTTAAATGGAAGGGAAAACCAACCTGGCACACCTTTTGGTTTGAAAGCTTTGGGGAGAGGCAGCCAAAAAGCCTGTCATTCACCCAGCTTTTGTTTTTTTTCCAGGTGACCTGGTGTCTCGAGCAATGCACCACCTCCAGCCCCTCAATGCCAAGCAGCATGGGAATGGGACGCCGATGCACCAGAAGCAGGGATCGTTCTATTGGGAGCCAGAGGCTCTGTACACCCTCTGCTACTTCATGCACTGTCCACAGATGGAGTGGGAAAACCCCAATGTGGAGCCATCAAAAGTCACGCTGCAGACCGAGAGGTAAGAGCCACTGCACGGTGCTTAATGTCATCCCGAAGACGTTTCATTAATAAATCAGCCTGGCTGGCTAATTGCTAATTACAGCTTATGCATGAGAGGCTGTGGAACAGTCTGGTTTGGTTTAGGATCACCTCTCTGAAATCCGTTTCTCTCGCTGAAGCACTGCGTGGCTGACCCATTATATATCAAAAGTGACACCCAGTGGCTACGTACAGCAAATTGGTTCCAGATGTGTACTCGGGAGAGATTTCCTTTTCCTTTCGTTGTTGCTCAGCTATTCTGTGTTTTGGAAAAGAAAATGAGAACTTCTATTTCTGGCCTAGCAGGTTTGGGTTTAAATGTGTTTTTTCTATGCGTTAATAGGGCTCGACAGCTGTGATTGGGGAAGTGGAAAATGAATAGAGTAGTGTGTAGGAAGGACAGGTCATTAAAGCTGCTGGGCTCCAGCCGTGCCGAGTACCCGAGTGCAGGAGTAACCTTGGGGTTGCCCCAGCTCTGGGGACGTGGCAGGCTCTGACTGTGCTGCTGTTGTCCCTGCTCCGGGGCAGGGGACACACGCCTGAGGCCCCATCCTGACGCAGGGTCTGCCGTAAGGTGAGGAGACAGCACTGGAGCCAGCGATGGGGTTACCAAATGCTGGCAGGCAGGGTGCCCAGTGCAAGGCAGCTCTGCACCTGGGCACTGCAGAAAGCAACTGGAGCAGTTTGCTGGTCAAGAAAATGGAGCCATCTCCAGTCAAAGCCCAGCAAACCCTCTCGTAACACAAACCTCTATATTTCCCTTCCATGCTCCTCACCAGCCCTAAACCAGGCTTCCCCAGTAGGGAGAGAAGAGGAGTGGAAAGTGATGGGTATCTGTTTTTAGGATGGGTATGGTGGTGATGTAAATGCAAGATGCTTTTTCAAGCTGGGCTCCACATTTACATCCCAGTGTTTATTGTGTTGTATGTGTGAGCCAAACCCTGATCTGCATGTGTGCCCCGAGAGCTGCTCTTATGGGGCTTGGTTATTGTTTCACTATGAGGCCTGCATCTCCGAAAAGCAGCATTTGAGAATTTAATCGTATGTGTAATCATAAATGGTATATAATATGGTATCTTCAAGTAAATAATTTTATATTGATTCAGAGAAGAGCATACAAGATGAAACTCTAGCATGAATGGTGTTACTGGGAATTCTGCCATTTGCCTTTGGATAGCATTTTGTTTCTTTTCAACTTTGGGTCACTCCGTGAGCATGTTTGTTGCTTTTTGCTCTATTGTTTCAAAAGTATGAAAAAAAAACTAGAAGGGGAATGACAAGCATTTTCTTCGTTTTGTAAATTATTTTTAACTTCATGATTTGTCATCCAGTCTTGTTATTGTGGAGGGCCTAGCTCGTGTCCAAGAGTTGTTAGTATGCCAAAAAAATAACCAAAATTAGAAAATATCCTCACCTGATCTGCAGTCCCCATCTGTGGGGGTAATGCCACTGGAACTAGTAGGAACTTGAATAACGCTGAGGTTCTTGTTTTGTGAGATTGCTGTAGACTTCCCTGTTGAAAGTGCAAAGGGCAGGAATATTTGAAAAATCACTTTTAGCATTTGCTTTAATAGGTTTTTCTTCCTCTGAGGTTGCCTTGATGCATGTTCTCTTCATTAGAGCACTTAAAACACTGATTATTTAAAGGAATTGTTCTTCTTTGCTTTATTTTGAATACTCCATCTGGCAAGACATCTTCCTTTGGCAGGGCAGTTTAACAACTGTGGTGTGCGGTTAGGGCCAGAGCAAGTACTCAGTGTTATTGCCAAGAGCTTGTGGTCACTTTTGGAAGTTGCGAATACTCCTCCTGTTGCCTAATCAAACATGCGTTAGTACTTAGCACTAGAGTGGGAGTGATGGAGGGTTAAGCGTGAGCCCAGATAACTTGTATGGAGTTGTGCTCTGGAGCTTCATCAGCTGGACACAACCATCCTGTGCTGCCTGGGGAAGAGATCAGTGAATCTCACTTCTCCTTAGTGCTCTGAGGAGCCTTCCTATCTATCTTTTTTTTTTTTTTTTTTTAACATGCAAGCATGGTTTGTGGTCCATGACTTATTTCTGGTGGTTTCAGTTTCCGTGATGGGTTTTTGTGTGTTGTGGGGGAGTGGGTTTGTTAAACATGACATTTTTATATGCAGAATATTTGCAAGCTTTGTGCCATATCTACATGCTGTATTCCCTCTCTTCTTCTCCAGCAGTGGCAATTGCTTTTGTGTTGAAAGAAGTCCAGAAGGAAGCAGAGAGATCCAGGAGTCTTTCCCCATCCTTGGCCTCTCTGTGTCCCTTCTGGTGCAGAGAAACCAGGACTGTGTGGATCGGATCTGGCTGTAGGCAGTATTTCCATGAAATGGGGGTTGTCCTTGGCTGATGTGGAGCCAGCTTGGCTACTGCCTTGGCCTTCTCTTCTCTGACCATGCATGCCCAGGGTAAAGAGAGTTGCGGGATGCTGGCAGAGAGCTCCTCTGGAGTTTACAGTTGCTTATCTTTGCCTTATGGGGCTTTGTGGCCCTATTAAGAGCTGCTCCTGTCCTTCCCACCCATCTCCAGCCCACCTGGATTTTGGCTGAGTTAGGCAGCTGCAAAGGCTCTGCTTGTCCTTCTGTGGGGGCTGGATACAGGAGGGAAGCCGGGATGGTGGCGGTCCTGCCTGGCTTAGCACTTTCCAGCACAGGAAGCGGTACCTCCCTCAAAGTCTTGGGGGATGCATAAAATGGGATGTTTACCTTTGAAGAAATCCAGGGCTTCGTTTCTAGGAAGTGTTTCTCTGTGTTTGCTCTTCATGGAGGTAAAGAAATGAGAATGCAGTGAGTTTTTAATAGTGTTTGTATAAAATAAAAGGGAAAAATTATTATCTTGCTGGGGGCACTACTTTTGTGGGAGCGGGAGGAGTTGGAAAGTGGCCAGGATTGCTCAGAAAACCCAGAAAAGAATCTCCACTTCTTAAATGCCAACAAACCCAACCATAATGTGGATGTGTGACCCCCTCACACCCCAAATCCATATTCTTTCAATCTCGTCACTTTGGAAGAAACCCTCTGATCTTTTGGCTATGTTGTTGACACAAACACGAGCCAGTCCTGCTGAGGTATCATGTAGATGGCTATTTTGGCAGGCATGGAGGTACAGGGAAGGGGTGGAGTGGACCTGTTTGTGGGGTCCCCCTTCCCTAATGCACCCAGCCAGGATGTGATGGAGGTGTTGCCTGCAAAAGCAGTGTTCCTCTGGCGCCTCCACCTGTGGGCGGCTGTGGATTATTTAGGTTTGTTCATTCTTCTGCTTTCCTGGGAACTTAAAAAAAATTTTAGATGAGGCCACTGTTACCAAAATTTCTTTCTTGCTTGCTGCTTTTGTTTTAATAAAAGGATCTGTCCCATGGTTCTGTTTTGCTTTTCAGCCTCTATAACATTTCCAAAATTATTGCAAGTAATTTCTTAAGCACCGGAAAGCACAGAATCTGTAGTTGCAGATTTGTGTGATGGTTTTTTCCTTAAGTGGTTCCTTACCCACTTTTATCCACAGCTGTATTGACAAAGTCCTCATTACTTCCTAACTCTCCATGTTCCCCATTAACAACTCATTGAGAAGCGGCTGCTCAGCAGCTCAGCCGGGCCAGAACCAGCCATTAATTCAGCTCGCACGGCAGCAAAGCTCCTTCTCCAGCGTTTCCTCTGCCGCTCCGCCTAGGAGGAGCATTAACTCCCTGTACCGCCCATCAGCCTTCAGCTTTTCCCCTCAGGTCTTAATTGAGTTGATGGATACGTGTCTGGTTTGAACCTTTTCTCTTTTCCTTTACTACTTTTCCCTGTATGTGGAGCACTCCCTTAGGAAATTCCCATGGGCTATTGCTTGCTTTTTATTTTTCTGCCTGCCTTGCATGCGTGTGCGCACACACACACACACACATTGCCTGCACATGTACACATGTGCAAATTGTAGGCTGTAGTCATTTGTAATTAATGGGAAGGGTTTGGGTTATCATCTGAATTTAGTTTCATGCTTGGTATAGTTATTAGTGTACCTGGCTAATCAATATGATACAACGCTCTTAATAAGAGGAATATTCCACTGCTGTATAATAATATGAACTCATCCAAAGCACCTTTGTAACTGGTACAGCCATGTCTGTTGTACAGAATAATGCCAGTAGAACAATTTCAGTAAGAAGATAACTAGGGAAATGTGTCCCTGATTTAAATCAAGTGGTACAAACTCCATGGGTAGGGCAGTCTCCAGCAAGGGCCAGCAGAGAGAATGATGGGGAATGCTGATGAAGAACAGGTAAAGTGCTAGCACTGGCAATGTGGATGTCCTGCTATGAAACTTGAATGAACCTTGCAATGTGCATCTGAAGATACATGTTTGGTGTGCTAGTATGGCATGGCCCTGTATAACCCTGTTTATAATATATAATCTGCTGTTTAACTGTAAACTTTACATGATAAAACTACAGCCTCAATGAACTTAAAAGTTAACAGCAGGGTTGATTTGACTGAGAATCACTGAAAAGAAATCCCAAATCCATTCTCACATAAATCCTCTAGATTTGCATCCTAAATATCAAACTCCTCACTTTTTAAAAATCCTTTAGAAATGGTATTGGCAGCTGCCTGCAGCGTGTGAGATTGCACATTACAGGAAATAGTGCAGGTGGTATTCGTAGCTCAGCTGTCAGACGGTATACCCTTGCTGGGCTGCGTCTGTATCTAATTCATTAAGCTAGACTTACGCTGTCCATAGGATGGCTATAGTATTTTTTAAAAAAGAAAATACTGCGTGCTGCACTGCGAGAACAGTGCGTTACGCAGGCTGTTCTGCACCGCGCTCCCAATGCTGGCGTCTCTTCAGGGATTTATGGCGCAGCCAGTTGTGTCAAACTGGATGTTAACACTGCCTGTGAAATATTTCCCCGTTGTGGTTGCTGGCCAAGTCATCACTTTGACTCAGTTTTGTATCAAGTTTCAGCCATTAATGTTTTTAATG